ACTGTGCGGCCCACCGACGAGGCTGGGACCGCAAGCGGCTCCTAAGAAACTACCTGCCCAACATCAACCCGGAACACGACGAGATCGACCCCCGACCAATGGACAGATCCGCATGTACGGGGAGGAATACGCGGTACTACTGGACTGCGGGGCGGTACTGTCGTACATCTCACCGGCCGTGGCCAACCGCATCCGACAGCAGGGACACCGCCGCCGCATCACTACGGCCATACACCTGGCCAACGAGCAGATCAGCCCCATCACAGAGGAAATCCGAGCCGATATACAGCTGGGACTATACCGAGGAAGTCGCACGTTCCACGTCCTCCCCGGGCTCACCGTGGATGTAATCGCAGGAATGCATCTGCTACGAAGAGCCGGATTCCGGTGGACCCTACCCGGAGTAGCTTCCCTCCAACCGGAGAAACCGACCGGAATAACCGAGTGCTCCGCCGAGCAACTGCAACAACTACAATTGTTACTCGACGAATTCCTACCGAAGTTCGAGGACATCAAGGGGACCACGCAGCTGACCGAACACCGGATTCGCCTACGCCTCGGACAAGAGCCGATACGCCAACGATACCGAACATATAACCCGGCGATGCAGAGTATCGTTGATACCGAGGTGGACAAAATGCTAGCGGAGGGATGCATCGAACCGACCAGCAGTCCATGGAACTCCAGCATAGTATTGGCGCGACAGAAGGACGGGCGATACCGCTTCTGTATCGACTTCCGAAAGGTCAATGACGTCACCGAAAAGGACGCGTACCCATTACCGCCAGTACAGCACATCCTCGACCAACTTCGAGACGCACGCTATCTGTCCACGATCGACCTACGGAACGGATACTGGCAGGTGCCGCTCCAGCTGGATAACCGGCCACTCACCGCCTTCGCCATACCAGGGAGGGGCCAGTTCCGATTTAAAGTTATGCCGTTCGGACTCCACGCAGCACCGGCCACCTTCCAACGACTGCTGGACCGCGACATTGGGCCGGACATGGAACCAAGGGCCTTCGCATATCTAAACGACATAGTCGTGCTAGGACGCACATTCACCGAACACCTGAGCAACCTGAGGGAGGTACTACAACGACTACTGGACGCCAACCTCCGCATTAACACCAACAAGTGTCACTTCGCCCGAGCGAGCCTAAAATACTTGGGACACGTGGTCGACCGAGAGGGACTACGGACCGACCCGGAAAAAGTACGAGCAATCCTCGAGATACCCGTCCCAGGATCAGTACCCGCCCTCAGACGATTCCTGGGCATGGTGTCATGGTACCGCAGGTTCATTCCAGATATAGCCACCATAACGGCACCACTCAACCGCCGACTTCAATCCAAGGTACGCTGGGAATGGGGGGCCGCAGAGGAGCATGCATTCCAGACCGTGAGGGAAAGACTCGCCACCGCACCGGTACTCCAATGTCCAGACTTCTCCAAAACGTTCGTTCTACAAACAGACGCCAGCGACGTGGGTCTCGGGGCAGTGTTGACGCAAGAAATTGACGGCCAAGAACGAGTCGTGGCATACGCCAGCCGCACGATCCGACCAGCAGAAAAACACTACTCGGCCACCGAAAAGGAATGTCTAGCGGTAGTATGGGGGATAGAGAAAATGAGGCCGTACCTAGAAGGATACCAGTTCCGAGTCATAACGGACCACTTCTCTCTCCGCTGATTACGATCACTGGAAAATCCGACCGGTAGACTAGCACGCTGGGCCGTATCACTGCAACAGCACGACTTCGAGGTAGAGTATCGGAAGGGCTCATTAAACCACGTACCCGACGCCTTGTCCCGCGAGCCTGTAGAGGAGGGAGAGGAGGCCGCCGATGCGGCCAATGAGTTAGCCACCAGCACACCCGGGAAGACCTGCACATGGTACGACAAAAAGAAGCAGGCAGTAAAAGAATCACCGCAGAAACACCCGGATTACCGAATACAAGGAGGACAGCTGTACAGACATTTCCACGAACGCCACTCGATCGACGAAGACACCGAACCGACCGCCTGGAAGTTCTGTGTACCGAAGCCACAGCGAGAACAAACGCTACAGGAGTGTCATGACGCCGACACGGCCGGACACCTAGGGATTACGAAGACGATCGGACGACTGATGCAAAATTATTATTGGCCAGGTATGACGAGAGAGGCGGCCAACTACGTCAGGCGATGCACTAACTGCCGACTACACAAGGTACAACAACGACAGACCGCAGGACTGATGCACCATCATAGA